AGACCCCATCTCAAAAATAAAAATAAAACAAAATAAAAAATAAAGCATTACTTTTGGAATGCCTAGCATCAACATAAAAACATCATGAAAAGGGCTGAGGTTGTAGCTCAGTGGTAGAGGGCTTGCCTAACATGTGTGAGGCAATGGGTTCGATTCTCAGCACCACATGAATAAATGAATGAATGAATGAATAAATAAATAAATAAATAAAGGTATTGTGTCCATCTACAAATATAAGAAAACATCATGAGGGCTGGGGCTGTAGCTTAATGGCAGAGTGCATGTGTGAGGCACTGGGTTCGATCCTTAGCACTGCATAAAAATAAACAAGTAAAATAAAGGCATGTTGTACATATACAACTACCAAAAAAATTTTTTTAAAAAAAGAAAACATGAAAAGAAATTTAAAATACCTATAAGTTTTGGCCTATACCTCACCCACCCTATCAAATTATTTCACATTTTAGAGTTTATTTTCAACTTTCATCTTTACAGACATCATAACTTTTAGATAATTGAGGTAATATAGTAGATATGGTTTTAAATATTGTTTTTATTTCATATTATTTTATAAATATAGTTTCATGTTTCTACATTCTGGTAGATATAAGGTGTTCTGTGACATTAGTATTAAATAATTTAATTATCCATTTGTGGATTGATTCCAGTTCTGTATTATTTTAAGTTCCACTGGCATAAGTATTTTAATACATACAAACTCTCTTTTCTTTTTTGTTTACTTCACTGGGTTAAAACCAGCTGGCTCCTGCTAAGTATTACCTAAATGTGTTTTCAGAAGGATTATATCAATTATCCTGGCAACTAGCCAAATTTTAATAAATCTGTTCCTCAGTGCTTTGAACAGCGTTCAGTATTTAATTTTTGTTTCATTTAATAGCTGTTAATCAGGAACATACTATACATAGTCCATAATTTGCATTCCCTTAATTACTAAGGAAGTTGAGTCTTTTTTTTTTTCTCTCAATACTAGGGACATAAAGTTATGTGCTTTGCAAGTGTACCTTTATGGCAGCAAATGAGCAGTACATTTGAAGGCACTGGAGCACATAAAATGAGCCTGTTTGTGTCCTTAGCCATGTATCAAAGGTTATAGGTGAGACTATAAATAAGCTTTTTGTGTAATATGTACATTTAACTCTTTATCTTTCCTATTTAAAACTATACACTTATTTTGTGACTCTCCCTTAAAATATTTTTAAAATATTGTAGTTATAGATACATAATATAACATTTACCATCTTTAACCTTTTTTTTCCCCTGATACTGGGAATGGAACCAGTATTGAACCCAAGGGCACCTTATCATTGAACTATGTCTCCAGCCCTTTTTATTTTTTATTTTGAAACAGGGTCTCACTAAGTTGTCAAGGCTGGCCTCAAATTTGCCATCTTCCTGCTTCAGCCTCCAGAGTAGTTGGGATTACATGCTGCACCACTACACCCAGCTTGCATAGAGACATCCTAATGACCAGGCCACTTCTAGAAGAAATGATAGAACTTTGTGTCATATGGAAGAATAAAAAACATAATTCCTAACCTGGGAGATTAGATAAATGGTAGTTGGGAAGAATAGCCTAAATCAATGGGGCCAGCTGACTGGAACCTTCAAAACAACATCTTTAAAATTTTGCTGAGAATGCTACCAAAATATACTGGAGATGTCAAATTAACAGTTTTCTTTTCTTTTTGCAGTACTAGGGATCAAACCAAGGGCCAGGCAAACACTCTATCACTGAGCCACACTCCCAACCCTCAAATAAATGTTTGAAAATGGGGAAAGAAGTTGGACTGAGAATGCATAGACATAGTAGGCAGCTATTTCTCATCACCTAATATGTTAAGTGACTAGTATTATGTAAACTTCCAAAGCCATACCCTGAGTTGTCCATCTTGCTTGCACCATGCTGTGGTTACCAATTCTTCCTTTCTGCTGACTCTTTCAGGAGAAGATGAGCTTGGAATATTTATCCTGGATAAACAAAGAGTATCACCCAGATTTTCTGACTGAGGATTTCTTCCATATAATCTCTCATGCAATGAACCAACCTTCCTTCCTTCCTTCCTTCCTTCCTTCCTTTCACTAGGAATTTAACTCAGACAATATTTACTACTGAGCCACATCCCTAGCCTACACACACACACACACACACACACACACACACACACACACATATATATATATATATATATAATTTTTTTTTGACACAGGGTCTCACAAAGTTGCTTTGGGCCTTGCTAAATTTTCTGAGCCAGGCCTTAAACTTGAATCCTCCAGTCTCAACCTACTGAGTTCCTGGGATTCCAGATGTGAACCACTGCACCTGACACAACTAATATTTCTTGAATATACACTATGTGCCTAGTGTTAGGAGAATGATGTTAAGTAAAAATGGAAATACCCTTTCCATTCATGGATCTCAAGGACTAGTAGAGAAAACAGGCATTGATCAATAAATCATTAAAACAACTAAGTAATTTTAAATTATCATTGAAAGAAAGAAATAGCATTCTATGAAAGCAGTAATAGGGGTACCAAACCAAGTTCAAAGGTTAGGGAAGGTTTCTGAAAATTTTTCCTTTTTCTTTCCTTCTTCCACACACACCTCCCCCAAGCCTCATTAAACTTTCACACAAGAAAAGATAAAACAGTTTCATTTGAGAGAAATCCAAGACTGAGTACCTTTTCTCTATGCATTTGTAAACTTCCAACTTCCATGTGTCTAGTCCATAATATCTTGTCACTGACATTATCTGAATTGGAAACTGATACCAACCTTGGTAGGCAAGTGTAACTATTTGCATTTTGCTGTTGAAGAATATTTAATCTGAGAGGTTAGGTAACTTGCCTAAAATCACATAGCCAATAGTTAATGGTAGCACTGGGACTTGAACTCAGATCTCATAACAAGTAGACTGTTATTATGGTTTGAATATTGTTTGAGTGTGTCTTCCAGAAATTCATTTGCTAGGAGCATGGTACCCCCATGTAACGGTATTGAGGTGGTGGAGGTCTTTAATAGATGATTAGATCATGGGGGCCCTTGATAGAGATTAATGTAGTTCTTGCAGAGCTTGGTTAGTTCCCACAAGAGTTGATTGTTATAAAAGAGTGAGCCTGGCCCCTCCCCATTCTTTTGCTTCTTCTCTCACTATGTGGTCACTCTCAGATGTACCCCTATCATGAGATGCCATCCACCATGTTATGGCGCAGCCAGAATAACCTCTGGTATGGCTGTCAGATCTTGGTTGTTTTTCATTTATCAAGTACCCAGCCTCAGGCATTTTGTTATAGCAACATAAAACAATTAATTAATGGTGCAATCAGGAGCCACTGAAGCCACTGAAAAGCAACATGACCTAGTTTAGGTTTTAGTCAATCATTTTCTGGATAATAGGACAGAAAGTGTTAGTTTTCAAAGTATTGTCTGGGATTATCTATGGAGTCAGAATTTCTTGGGTAGGGGCTCAGGAATCTGGTAATCAGCTAGGTTTGGGAACTTTTTTTCCGATTTCAGTGCAATAAAAAGAGAAGCACTGTATTAAAGAAGGCAGTGGTACAGCCAGTTAAGGTGACTACAGTGGTGGTTGCAGTAATCAGGTTAAAGGGGATGAGTTGCAGAGAGAAAAGAATGTACATTTGGGTCAATTAAATAGCACGGACAGAATTTTTCTACTCCACCCTTCCATAGATAGGGAAGTGGAATTAGATCTCTACCTGGCTCCTGTAGTTTCAGAGCCTTTGGGCTTTACTGCACATAGTTGCTTATTTACATATCTTGATTTTAACTATTTTGTATTTATTTTTCTTAGCACTTGCCTTGCAAATTTCCATCTTATCTCTAACTGCCTCAAGTCTTGTAGTTCTCTTTTGTTTTCATAAAGTGTAGGAGAGAAATAAGGAATAGCCAGGTAAGCTCTTAAAAGTTTTAAAACATTTCTTTCTTTTGGACTGGGCACATAGGGGGAAAAGAATTAGATTTTATTAGACAAGCACAGACTGAAGAGAGAAAACAGCAGGCCTTGGGGAGATGCACTAGATCTCTGGTTCCTTGAACCCTAGGAGACCTTTGGGAAACCCAAACACAATAATTTCAGAAGCCCAGGGGGTGACCCCATTTCCTCTGCAAGGTTATTACTGGGTGTCAGACAGGAGCAGTTCAGGAATTCAGGAAACTATAAAGAAATCACAACAGCTTCAACAACCGCCTCCTCAAACATCAACATCAACAGTCTCAATAATGAAATTGATTAAAGTTCATTTCCCTCCACCCACAACCAGAGATCCAAATCTCGGAGGCAGAAGGGACTACAGGAGCTCTTCATTGCCCAGCCTAGTTCTTCCTCATCCCACGCCTATTTTTCCCATTATCTCAAGGATCCTGGAAACTGCCTCCCCCATCTCTGGGTGAGGGCACCATGGCCAAGGACACCTCCACTTTATTCTCACTGCCAAGAAGGTTAAGATTAAAGCAAGCTGAGTCAAAGGTTACGGCCGGCAGGGCTGAGTTCTCTGCGAGGCCGTGGAGGATGAGCCAAGCAGGTGTAGTGGAAGTGATGATGGAGAAAAGAGTGGCAAAGTGGTTGGGGCCAGGGCTCACTACAGGATTCAGGGCCTCGCGGGGCGGGGCGGGCGCCTAGGGGCGGGGCCCTCAGGGATGATGGATGCAGGGAAGGGTGCGGCCCAGAGGCGGGACCAGGGCGTATCTCCGCCAAGATTGGATAACTGCCGAGCGCGGGGAGGGGGCCCGAGCACAGTCAGGCCCGCAGTTCACCAATTCTCATTATATACGGCGGCGGCGGCGGCGGCGCGGGCCGGCTGGTCTGTAGCTCACACCCGGTTCCGAGCCCCTCCTGCCTCTCCCAGGAATTTTCTTTCTGTCCTGGCTGCGTTCGGTCCCGCTCTGAGGTTCATTTTGTCCTCGGCCCCGCAGTCTCTTTATCAGCCCTCCAAGCCCTGGACCTGGACGCCTGCAGAACCAAATGGTCACAGCTATGAATGTTTCCCACGAAGTGGGGCAACTGTTCCAGCCCTATAACTTCGAGATGTTCCAGGATTTAAGGCCCTTTTTAGAAGAATACTGGTGAGACCTGGGAATGGGGAAGGGCCAGGTGTGTGTGTGTGCGGTGGGCAGACCCTACTGTGTGCTCCGGGCGAGGGTTCGGGGTAGGCTGAAGGCCAGCAATGATTTTCTTAAAGAGCAAAGTTATAGGATCCCTCATACTAGCTCCAATCCATCATTGTCCAAGGTGCAGGTAGTGTGGCACCTCGAAGAGATTAGAGCTAGAAGAAAGGATGCAGAAATGAGTACGGGGAGCAGGGTGTGGGAAGAGACAGAAGCCAAAGAAAGAGTGTAGAGAGAACGGGTAGCTGAAGAATGAGGTTGATTAGAACCCCTCCAACCTGCTCTACTTAATTATCATGCTCCCTAAAAGCCCCATCATGTTTTCTGTGGAGACTGAAGCAAAACCAGGGAGTTTTTCCAAGCTTTCCCAGGGCTCTCTGGCTTAGCCCTAAAGCTACCCCAGAGGTGTCTTTGGGCTGACTTTGTGCTCAAGCCAATTTGCCATAAACCAACCAATGCAGAAGCTATTGCCACATTCTTACACCACAGCCCTGGGTCATGGGCCAATGGTCATCAGTCTCCAGCCTAATAAAGAATGCAATAATCACCTTGGATATAGCCCCTACCCTGTGTTATAATTAACATGGTCAGGAGAGGACCTCCCACCACCTTTACAAATAAGAAAACCAAAATATCACATGGCTAGTAAGTGGCAGAGTTGGAACTCTAATCTAGACATTAACCTGGAGAGATGAGTGGGCATTCCTCTGACCAACAGCCACTTTTTAGCCCATCTCTGCCTTCTGCCTGCCAGGACAACCTCATTCTTCATAGTTCTGATATACCTGCTGCTCATTGTTGTGGGGCAGAACTACATGAAGGATCGGAAAGGCTTCAACCTGCAGGGACCTCTCATCCTCTGGTCCTTCTGCCTTGCAATCTTCAGGTAAGGTAGTCCCTCCTCCTACCTAGTATTTAGACCTCCATTCCATCCCTTAAAACTTTCCAGAAACTCAGTTTTATTGACTCCCAACTTTTACCTTCTTCTATATTGCCCTCTTTTCCTTCTTTTCTAGACCCCAACCTGGCAATTTCTGCTCCATCCCTTTTGCACTCATGGAATCTGTACTTCCAAATCTCTGTAGCCTCAGTAGGGCATAGTGACACATGCCTGTAATCCCAAAGATTTAGGAGGCAGAGGCGGAAGAATTACATGTTCAAAGCCAGCCTTGGCAACTTATTGAGGCCCTAAGCAACTTAGCGAGATCTTCTCTCAAGATGAAAAATAAAAAGGTTTGGGATGTGCCTCAGTGGCTAAGCACCCCTTGGTTCAATTACCTGTACCAAAAAAAATGTATATATATATATATATTTCTCCAGCCTCTAATACTATCAGCAACTAACACCCTCTTCCAAGACTGTCCCAGTCCTTCCTTCCCATGTTTTCTTCCCCCAAATCCTTTGATTTTCCCCAAACTGCTACTCACTTCTTAGGCTTCCACCCCATCCCAAGAACACTAACTCTACTTTCAGTCTCAGCTCCCTTCACATTCCCTGGTATTTTCCAACCCTCATTTCCTGTGGAATACTGGATGAATCTTTCAAATTGGCTCCAGGATCTCAGAATCTGTGATCTGTTCCCCCTGCAAGGGTAAGGAGGTGATGGAGCACAAGACTTAATGACCTTGTCAAGCTAGGGGAAAGGGTGGATTGATGTCTTACACTCTCTTTCTCTGTTCCATTTCAGTATCTTGGGGGCAGTGAGAACATGGGGCTATATGGGGACTGTGCTACTTAGGGGGGGCCTGAAGCAAACTGTGTGCTTCACCAACTACATTGAAAATGCCACAATCAGATTCTGGTCCTGTGTCTTTCTTCTCAGCAAGATCATTGAACTCGGTGAGTGACAAGACTTTGTCTCTCTGGTGCCCAGTGAATCACACCCTTCCTCAGAGCCCTCCCCTCACTCATCATATGGAGAATACCTTCCCCACCCCTAGGTCCTAACAACACATGTCACCTAAGCCCTTCTTCAGGTTCTCTGCCACGAAAACTCCTCCCCACCCTGAGAATTCCTCCTGGGCCCCTACACCCAATGTAGAGGGTGGTCCCAGCACTGGAAGGTTTGCCAGCTATGTGACTTCTTATCTCCCAGGAGACACAGCCTTCATCATCCTGCGCAAGCGACCACTCATCTTTGTGCACTGGTACCACCACAGCACAGTGCTACTATTCACAAGCTTTGGATACAAGAACAAAGTACCTTCAGGTGGTTGGTTCATGACCATGAACTTCGGTGTACATGCCATTATGTACACTTATTACACTCTGAAGGCTGCCAAAGTGAAGTGCCCCAGGATGCTTTCAATGCTCATCACCAGCCTGCAGATCCTGCAGATGTTTATAGGAGCCATCATTGGCATCCTGACTTTCATCTGGAGGCAGGAACAAGGGTGCTACATCACAGTGGAAGAATTCGCCTGGTCCTTTGTCTTGTATGCCACCTATTTCATCATCTTTGCCCACTTCTTCCGACAAACCTACTTCAGGCCCAAGGTCAAAGCCATGGCCAAAAGTCAGTGAAAGATTGGAGAGAAAGAGCCTTAGATTTCCTCTTCCAAAAGGGTACTAAGGGGTTGGGCTTAGATTTGGGAGAATGATTAGGGAGATTTCCCTGCATTATTTCCCCATGGGAAATGTGCGCCAAGGTGGCAGGAAGTTATCACAGACAAGAAGTGTCACCCTGGGATAAGGGTGTGGTCTAGTACTTTAATGAATGAGTGAAGGCCAAGGAGGCCCTGGGAAGGCACTAGGACTGGATGGGCTCCTAGAGCTGAGTTATTTATATTTCTATCCAGAAATCTTTCTCCTTTTGTTCTATTTTTAAATTAAGCATGCAAACCAAATGGAAGATGGAGCTTAGGGGTTTGGAGGAAGAAGTGGGCTCCTGTGATGGGAGAAGGCTGCTGGTAATACGGTGATCTGCAGGTGGGAGGCTTGAGGGGTGTGAGGAAGGATGAGGCACACACACAGACAATAACAATCCTAGGCCTGTAGGCACTTAATAAATGTCTGTTACAGACCATAATTTTATTGCTGTTAGAGGCTCAAGCCCCTCATAGGAACAGTGAAAAACGGGTGCAGAAAGGCGGAGTAACGTTATCTCAAAGTCTTAAGCTTCCTAAGTTGCAGAATTGACCCTTGCAAACTTTGGAAAGACCTACCAGCTGTTCTCCCTGAGACCACGAGGTGGCGCCGCAGCACCAGCTTTGACCGATGCCAGCGAAGTAGCTGGTTCAACAACTCCACATACGCGTGCACACCTTTGCTCCAGGAGTCCTGGTTTCCCCATTCTTTAGGGGAGTGAATGGGACTGAAGCCCCAGAAGCCTGGACCTTCACCTCCTTCCTCTGCATCCAGATTTCTTTTAGACAATGGGGGAGGTTGAAGGGATGAGGGCTCAACCGCAACTCTGAATCATCAGGCCTTTGACAGTCCGCGCACATTTATTTCATTTATCTTTGAAAACGGAGTAGAGGGAGTCTGGAGAAGGCGGGATGGGCCAAGGGTGAGTTGGCCCAGGGGGGCTGGTCCCTATTCCAGGACTTAGTCCCAGGGTCGTGATCTGCCTGTAGGGCCCAGTTCACCCCTTAGAGCCGTAAAGGGGATGGAGTGCTCCTGAGCTATCCGCCTCCCAGCTGCTCGTGAACCCTTCTCAGACACTGGGGCGGGGGCAAACCAGTCTAGACGACCCCAGTCCGGGGAAGCTGTGAATTATTGACCCCGCCCAAAGGGATGATCCACCCGCCCGTCGCTCATACAGGCCGTTCCACGGCGTACTGGCACGGACTGAGGTTGGCAGCCGGGGGTGGCCCGGGCACAGCGGGGTAGCTGAAAGAAGCGTGTTGTTTGGCTTTGAGCCGCAGGCTGGCCAGGCTCGAGTTACACGGGTCCCGATATACGTAGGGAGACGAGGCGGCTGCAGCCGCGGCTGCTGCGGCCGAGGCGTAAGGACAGGACACTGCCCCAGAGGACACGGCGCCCGGAGCCAGCCCGGGAGGGGCCCCGCCCAGGCCCTGTAGGGCCCCGGGGCCTGGTACAGTGCCCGGGGCAGCTGCGGCTGAGGGCACCATGGAGGCGGCGATGGAGCTGGGTGGCGAGAAAACGGGCTGCGATGCCAGAGGTCCCACGTTGACAGAGTTGAAGGCGAACGGGAAGGTCTTGGCGGCGAGCGGCGGGGCGAGCGCCTTGGGTGGCCAGTTGCCATACGAGTAGCCGGAGTACACTTCCTCATAGGGCGGCACCAACCCGCCCAGCGGCGCTGCGAAGCCGCCCTTGCACAGCTCTGCCTGCTGGCTGCGCTCGCGCTTCCGCCACTTGGCGCGTCGGTTCTTGAACCACACCTGCGGGCGTGGGAGAAAAGCTATTAGGATTCGGGGTGGATGGGGCTGGGGGCCAGCCCAGTGGTTGATAAGTGGAGCACCCAGGCGGGGATTGAGGTCCCAGCCCGAGCCGTGCGGAGGATAAACGAAACGAGGTGGCTGGGGACAGGTTGAAAGCGCACGGGGCCAGGCACCCGAGAACAGAAACTGTGGGTGGTAGAACAGAGTCAGCAGCCTCAGGGTCTGGGGGAACAGTAAGATGGATCAAAGATGGGAAAGGAAAGAAACAAAGAGGTCGGGGAAGAAGCAACACGCGCTCGCCAGTGGTAAAGAACGGTAAAAGCAGAGACTGAAGGTTAGAGGGCAGGAATGGGGGTGTCCCGATTCCGAACACGGGGTGTCGGGTGTTGGCCTCGAGGTGGAGCAGGCAGACTTCAGAACCACAGCTGCGGAGGGGATTGGAGGAGGGAGGCCCAGGCTAGTGAGGGTTGAGGGTCAGGTAGGCAGTACCCGCACGCGGGCCTCGGTGAGGTTGGTCCACACTGCGATCTCTTCGCGCGTGCTCATGTCAGGGTAGCGGTTCCTTTGGAAGGTCGCTTCCAGCTCCTGGAGCTGCTGGCTGGTGAAGTGCGTGCGCTGCCTTCGCTGCTTCTTCTTCAGCGAGCCGTCCTCGGGAGAGCCACTGGGCAGCGAGACAGAGGCCTTCTCCGAGTCTGGGGATGGCGGGGGAGAGTAAGGTCACAGGGCGTCCAGGCCTGAGAGAATTGTCGGGTTTTGGAACCTCCTCAACCACCCGCTTGCTCCCACCCAGGCGGCCAGGCAGGGTCACACCGGATTAGAAGCTGAGTTGTTATGTCCTACATCCCCAGGAGGGGGCGTGCTCACCGCTGTGCTCTTGGCCTTTGCAGCCGTGTTCTGGGAGCGAAGGATGGGGAGTGCCGGCGTCTGACAGCGATAGGGAAGGGCTCCGGGCCTCTGCCTCGCTGAGCAGCCCGAACTCCATGGAGCCAGGGCTCTGGATGGAAGAGAAAGCACACATCAAGTTAATGAGAATAAAATCAAGGTATAAGCCGGTTCCTTGTAGGGTTCCCCACAAATTTCCTGGCCCTTTCTTGGTCACTGACAAAGAGCTACCCCTGACTAGCGTGCCTAGGATAGAACAGGGAGACAGGGCCCAAGGAGAAAAGGGTGTATACTGAGAGGTTTTATGCACACATATACACTATACTTTGTTAACTGATGAGCACATAGAAGTGTGCCTGGTGCACATTTGTTGTTCAATATTTATATTCAAAATGCATGCTGTGACACACCACATCCCCTATACTGCATCCCTCCAAAGGTCACTTTCTTCTCACCGGAATGTTCCTTATCCCCATATGGTCATACATGTACCTCAGCCAATCACACTTGAGAAACAACCTGAACCTCTGTTATTCATCTTCCTTAGGACAGATGTTATTTTGAACCAGGTATGATATTTCATCCATAAGAATAATCACTGTTATCACTTATTTTAACTGTCTCTCCCCTCACAAGAATACATCAAGATTAAGTAGTTAATATAGTTGAGTATCCCTTATCCTGAATGCTTGGGACTAGAGGTGTTTCAGATTTCAGAGTTTTGTTTTTTGACTTTGGAATATATTTTTTAAAAAAAGAGAGAGAGAGAGAGAGAGAATTTTCTTAATATTTATTTTTTAGTTTTCGGCAGACACAACATCTTTGTTTGTATGTGGTGCTGAGGATTGAAACTGGGCCGCACGCATGCCAGGCGAGCGCGCTACCGCTTGAGCCACATCCCCAGCCCTGACTTTGGAATATTTGCTTAGATATATCAGTTGAGCATACCCTTATCCAAAAAATCAGAAATCTAAAATGTACCATAATTTCAGAGCACTTTAGATTTAAAAATTTTTAGATTAGGGATGCTCAACCCCTGTCATCCTTTTTCCAGATGAGGAAGCTGAAACCTGAAGTAACTTAAAGGTCAAAGAGCTTGTAAGCAGTAGAATTAGGATCTGAACCAGGTCTGTGGGATTCCTGAACTAATACTTTTCCTTCATTTGCTTTTTAAAATTGTGTTCTTTGGGGCCCTTGGGGATTCAGCTAGAACTCCATCCTGGCCATGCTTGAGTCAGCTTCAACTAGGGAAGCTCTGCTTTTGTCTGTTTCATTTATAATTTCTGAAGAGATTTAATTTGGATAAAGGGTTCCAAGATCAAAAATGAGTTTGAAAACAACAGGACTCTTGGGCCCTGTCTACTCTTTTGCATGCTCAAACACATCTCACATACCACTAGTCATACTTCTATCTCATGCTTAGCTTTTACCAAGCCCACTCCAAGGAGTACAATGGTTTCCTTAAGACCCCCTTCTTGTTGGCATTTCCTATCCCAAATTCCTGATAGTGCCCAGGAACCTGCCTCTCCAAGTTTCCCTTGCAGGGTCTCTTTCTTGCTGGCTCTCCTGGGACCCTTATAATGGGGAAAGGGGCACTAATAGGTCTCAAGAATCTGGATGCTTCTTAGAGGAGAACAGAAGGAGTCTAAGGATAGAAGGAAGAATGGAGTAGAGATATGGGTGGGAGGGGTCTTTCTGTCCCCAACACCATTAACAGAGGCTTCATGGGGTGACATTAAGAGGGTGGATTAGCCCAGATTGAGAAGTGTCACTTGGTTCTGAATTTATTAGAAGCCTTTCTCAAGGAGGTACAGATGGGCAGCAGCCTGTATTTGCACATGCTAATGCCCCTTCAACCAGCTCCAAGAATGCAACTGTGCCCCACCCAAGCCAGGGACAGAGGTCAAGGAAAGAGGTTGAGAAACAGTTCCTGTTCTTTCCACAGTCAAATGGGTCTAGACCTTGGACCTGTCACTGAAGTTGGAGAGGAAGAGCTAGAGGGAACCCAGGAAAGAAGGACAGATTCAGGACAGGAGTGGAGGTGTGTTCAGCTCACTTCACTTTCCAATTTTGAGGTCAGGAGCCAGAGGCTTGGAGCTGGAAAACTTGGGCCCAGCAATTCTCCATCAGAAGGGAGATGTCCTTAGGAAGGATCTATGGCGATGCTGATCAGTAGCTTTTCCCAAATAGCTGGGAAGATGAGAGAAAAAGGCTTAGAACTAAGAGCTGTAAAAGGGGTGCTCTGAAGTCTGCTCTTTCTTCAGACCCAAGATGATCTTGAAATGCAAACCATGTCCC